GCTTGGCTACTTATTTTAATAGAATATTTTGTTCAATTTATTAATATACCTTTTGGAATAATTAGTATAAAACTTCTATATTGCACTAGTGTAAGTCTAATAATTTTATTTTGATATTTTATTATTATTGTTCTAATTTGGGTTTTTATGACTAGCTTTAATCCAAGAACTTGAATTAAAGTTATACTAAAACATTTTAAAAATCGAAGGTCATTGAAAATGACTCGGGTTTTTGAATCGTTTTTTAAAACTCAGACCCAAAAATTAGGTTTTAAGAAATTGGATTAGGTAGCAGAAAATCCCTGGTATAATTTTATAACCAATTGTGGTTTTAGCTTATGATCAGAGGTGAATCGGAAATAACGAAGTTCTAGATATAAGAACTGTCGGAAATCGGAAATATCTCAAAAGTCGGAACTCGTAAGTTGGAAATCGGAATTCCGATTCACCTCTGCTTATGATCAAAGAAGCCGCAATGAAGTTATATCTTACTATGAGAGTCTTAATTTCTTAATTTTATTGCTTATTAATGTAGAAATTATTCTCAAGTTAAGAAAATTCAAATATTAAAAAAAGTTCAACTAAATTTCAATTTCTAATTAAATATATTTAAGTTACTCCATCGTAACCTCAAATTTATTTTAATTACACAAAGCGGATTAATAATATTTGAAGCATTAATCAGGCTATATTTCGTTGGTCCAATAAAATATTTTACGGGGGACATTTTTTGGTTTCAGACAGAATTTAGGTATTTTTAAAAATTATTTGGATTTAATAAAATTTATTTAAAGATTTATCCCAATAAAATTTCTTGTGCAACTTCCCATATTTTCTCGCATGATATTTTGTCATCTAATTATTGTTGAACGAATTTGTGCCACAGTTTTTATAAAATGTTATGAAACTAAGAACGGAAGAATATTTACAACCTCATGGATTTTTATTTTTGTAGGGTTTTTTAATTTTTCCGGATATTTTATGTTAAATATTGAGTTAACTTTTTATGAGTGGAGAAATCAGAAACAATTTTCAGTGTTTATAATCAGTCACTAAACAGGCAATGATCCTGCAGCCGCTCTTTGATCATAAATTGTTTACACAGCATATCTGATACAAACTTAAATTCAGATTTTTGAATTGAGGATTCCTGGCCCAAAAAACGTCGGAAATTCCCATTTACGGGAGTACCCCATGCTCATCCTTTCAATTTTTATATAATTTCACAATTACTTTCAGTTAATTCTGTCTGTCTTAAACTTTATTAATAACGAAGAAGATGAAGCAAATGATAATTTATCTTCTCAAAATGTGACATTATCTAGTGCAATAATTGCTGTATTTCTTGCTTTAATAGGATTATTTGAAATTATTGTACTAAATAAATTAAAATCAAATAATAAAAAATTTTAGTTGATTGGAGTAATATGGAGGTACAACAAGAATAAATTAAATGGGTTTTCACATTCAAGTCAATTATCTATAATTGGAGGTAAACCTGTTGTTGTTATAAATGTTCATAGGAGAACATCAGAATATAAGCTGAAAAAGCGTTATCAGGTAAAGTATAAAGTTTATTGAGGATTTGGGTTGGATATCGGTTCCGTATATTTGAAAATTTTTGCTCGGACATCAATGTGGATATTGATGATTTCCGCGAGGTTATGAATTCACCTGTGGCGCTGAAAATTTATTTGAGATTAAGAGGTATATCCAGGAATTAAAAGGTGAAAAGTTCCATGGAAGAGGTCGGGTTTTGGGGAGGAGAAGTCCACCATTCCGATCAGGGTGGCCCCTTACAAAACACTAAAATAGGGCGAAGCCACTCAAAAATAGGGCAAAAATAGGGCGAAATCGGCCAAAAATGGGGCAAAAATTAGGGCATAGCTTTAAAAGCTTAAGCATACTTAAAATTTCAATAAGGCGAAAATTTTGAGAATTTTGGAAGGCCAAGAAGCCAAATTTCTTCATTTTTTAGCGCCGCAGGCGAAAATTTTGATGATTTTGGGAGGCTAGAAGCCAGATTTCTTCCATTTTTTGCGCCGCAGGCAAAAATTTTGAGGATTTTGGAAGGCCAGGAAGTCAGAAATCCTTAATTTCTACCATTTTTCTTACAAAATCCGAAGAATTTTTAAAATTTTACAAGATGTAAAAATAGGGCAAAGATATGGCAAATGAGAAAATAGGGAAAAAATAGGGCGAAAAGGTCAAAAATAGGGAAAATCCTCTATAAATAGGGTAAAAGGGCCACCCTGATTCCGATAGGTGCTGAGGACTTAATGTGGAGATAGTTCGAGGAGTTTGGGAAAATAAAATTGACTAAATACATATATGTAAGTTGAATTTTTGATGAAAAAATTTCTTCTGATTCACATTTAATTTTTAAAGTATTTGGAAAACATGCGCAGCGCATTTCAATTGGCGCCAACAATTCTTGCATATTTCGTTGCAGGTGTTTCGACAGCATTTTCGCAAACATTTTATTCACTTATCTTTGAAGCAGATGACTTTACAAGTGAAATAATTGTTAGTTTATTAATAAATAATGAATAACTTTCGTAATATCATATAGGTTAGGTATATCAGGATTATATATTTACAAAATAAGACTCCGAATTAAGGAGCAAACAGCAATTGGAATAAACGATAGATCTCCAATTATCATGCTTATGCATGAGTGATTGTTTTGTGTCTTTCCAAGCCAAGGTTGAAAAGCACAAGAATAACAGTATATCCAAAGAAGTTTTGTATATCTGTAGTGTTGGATTTGAAGCAGGATCAGGATAACAGGGACTAGACCTATTCTATGGTCAAATTTACATAACGATGAACTGCTTTTACATATAGACGTGTCATTGTCCTATCTTGTATATTTAATGGGGTTTAAACGGAGATTGATAAAAATATACTTTATGAGTTATTTCTAAATAGTAATGAAAAAATTTATCATAAATACATTCATACTATAATAATAATTTAAATATAATAATAATTTTAAAAATACATTCATACTATAATAATAATTTAAATAATTTTAGTCACAATTTAACAACTTGTTTATTGCGATCATTAACTTTGTAATAATTTCTACAACAATTTTGTAAGCCAAAAATATTTTTATTCCATTATTAAATCAAATCTTTTTAGTTTTCATAAAATTCTGAGGAAGAATTTCTTCAAAATTTTTAACCAAATATTTTGTTGTTCTCCAAAAATAAATAAATCTCTGGAGAAGAGTACAATAAATAAAATTACCCCTACTGTGGCACAACAACAAACTGAAAAATATTTTGCAATGTTGAAAGGGACTTGGGACTAATAATTATATAATCTATAAAAAATTTTGATTTAAATAATCATGAAAATTTAATTTAATAACTTTTATATAAAACTAGGGTTGCGCGAGATCGAGGTTTTTCGAAAAAATCGAGATCGAAGATCACCTAGGTCAAAATTGAGGCGAGGTCCGAGATCGAGGTTTGAGGATACCCGAGGTTTCTAAAAAATTTTATCTTTTGAAATTAAAATTGCTAAATTTATCGTATATCGTTGAATAATTGAAATATGGTCGAATTATTGTGAAAATAAATGCGGTTTTAAAAGTTCTTTGAAAAATAAAATGTTTCGTTTTGCTTCGTTTAGTAAAATTTTGGTTGTTTCGTCACGTTTCGTTAACGAAACGATTTTTAAAAAAATTTGTTTCGTTTTGTTTTGTCCGCAAGTTCGCCCAAGTCTTGTTCCGACTCGTATTTTAGCCAGCTTTTTGCTACAACATCTTAACCAGATCGAATTTAACAAACTATTTTTAAAACTTATTATTTATTAATCTTTCAAAAAATTTTCAACATCAAATTTATTACAATCCTTATCATTCCAAAATTTATTTAAATCAATTATATTCTTTGATTTATCTTCAAACTGTTTAGTAGCATATTCACATATTTTGCATATTGGAGAATAATCATAACCAAATCTTCTTTTTGTATATGTTTTTGTCCATTCAAAGTGTCTATATTTATAAACTTAACTTTGCTAGGCTGAATAAATTAATGTTCGCAAACTAGTTATACATATTTTTGTAAGAGGAAGCGGAGACGATATCAAGGGTTAAGGGGTTGTCCGCAAGTTCGATTAGATCGTGAACCTTGAGTTCAATTATCCTTATCTTGATAATCGAACCACACGAGACTCGGTAGGTACACTACTCGAACCCCCGTACATTTTTGGGTACTAAAAACCTCTAGTTTAACTAAGATTGAGTTTTATCTGCTAACCGTGCTCAGATTTTTTAATTTACTTTAAATATTTTTCCGTATCATTTTGCAAAGCCTTTAGATGCGCAACAAATTCATTCACTGATTTAAAATCATCCAAGGCAATAAATGCATTAGAAGGAACATCCATTCCTTCAAAAACAGATCTACTAAAAACTACAGGTACTGTAAGTGATCTTAACGAATTCCAAAATTTTTCTGTTACATAATTTTGACAAATATTATTCTCCAATGCCAAATAGAACATGTGGGTTTCTAAAAATTATTTACTATGCATATGTTTACTGAAACTAAGTGTTCAAATTCTATCTTAAATTTGGGGCCTACATTTATGATTATATTTAAAGTAAGAGCCTTTTATGTATGAATATATTCTGGGACACTCGGTAAAAATGAATTTGGCCTGCAAATTCGGCAGATAATGCCTTGTTGCCTTTTTTAATCAAATTTAATTTTACCTAAATTACTCTTATAGCATGCATCATCGCAACCTCTTCTACCATAACACACACCAACAACCTCCAAATCCATTAATTTTTGTAGTTTTTTTGAAATAAGATCTCGACCAGATTCAGAATTACAATGTGAAATTGCTTGGAAAGCTAATTTTGTTTTGTTCTTAACTATTGCCAGAACCTTTAATTTAAAATAATCTCCTATTTGGGTCAATAATTAAACTTTTTCTGTTTTATATAAATTTTGACTGATTAAACAGATAGTAGATACCTAGGCGATTCCCTCTAATGATACACCATCATAATTTTTCTGCACCGTTTGTATTTTAGTTACCTCTTTTTGATCCCAAATATATTCTTTTGGAGTAGTTGGAGTAATTCTGGTTAAAACATCATAAGGCATAAATACGGAACTATCTAAACGATAAGTTGCTGTACTATTAAAAAATTTGTCTGTTAGAAATTTTCTGTCATAATATTTTAAGGTGGTTTGTATTGGAGATTCAACTGTAAACATCATATAATTTTGATCTTCTCGACGATTTTTAGGCCATGAATTTATGGCACAGAATGTATGGAGCAAGAAAATCGTTGTTGATGCGTTTGTCTCGCTTAATAAAATCAAATTTATTAGTAATAGAGCTGTCCAAGAGCTGTCCAAGACTAGAGCTGTCCAAGACTCTTGGTCTTAAGTCTTGACTCAAGCTTTTATTGTGGTTTTTTCGATCTTGGTCCTGAGGTCCAGTCTTGGTCTCGAGTCTTGGAAAAAGTTGGAAAAAAAGTCTTGGAAAACTTTCATCCTTAGACAGCTCTATTAATCACCAAATAATATTTAATTGCAGACCTGCACATGGATACTGATTTTGGTATCCGTATCCGGATATTTACGGCGGATACAGACGGATATCCGCAGGCATCTTTTTTTATCTGTATCCGCATCCATGAGCAGGTCTGTTTAATTGCATTATCAATCATTATCATTATCAATCTATCAAGTTTATAGTACGAACGGCCAAACACATAGAGGACTGGAAGAGCTCTGGTCTTACGGGAGGCTATCAAATTTAAAATACAAAATTGTATTTGTATCATCTCAAACTAAAGTATATCATACTTCCGCCGCATTTACCCATAAGGTTTCATACTGATTTAATGTAAGGTATAGTTGACTTGACGCACGAATTCCCTCTCAAGCTTGCAGATAAAGCAAAAATTAAAAGACCAGACGGTGATTGGAAAGTATACAAGATCACATCTATCCTATCTTTGCTTTTTTCTGTGATGGGCTCGGCCGTATTTTTTATTTAAATCCAAACATACAATTTTCTATCGGTAGTAAAAGTACACTTGAACGGACATTTAATGGTTGAATTGATCACTGGATAATCTGGATAACCAATTCCTTGACTTGTTACTCGAATACATTTATTCCAAACCAGAATTGGGGGCATTTTCTGCTTTTTACTTGATATCTTAATTAATTTTTTAATTGAAAATTGGAAATTATAATGTTCAGTATTTTTAACGACTATTGATCGGAGACTTACGATGATCCTCATGAATCCCTCTTAAAATCCAGGGTCCCGGAAAGTAGAAAATATTTAATAAGTTACCGATTTAGATGATTTGAAAATATAAAATTGATCATGTTGGTTATAATTTAAATAAAATAATGCAGTTAATATTAGGATTATGAATAAAATTAAACATAAGATAAATTTTGAGAGATCCATTAATTGCTATTATGAAACAAAAAATAATTTAATAAATAATCTTTAAGCTTTATAAGAAAATTCTTTTTATTTATTTTAGCTAAACCACGTTACATAATTTTAAAAAATTTCATTTTCCTTTCTCTTTAGATCATTATCGTATACTTAAACGTACTATATTCTACTAGAAGAATCAACACACAAATGAACATACAAATGACTGACACAATGTAAATTAAATTGAAAATCCTCATAATATACTTTGAAGATTTTCTATGGACCGCGGCTCATTTATTTATTTTTTAATTTTATTTATAACGAACACTAAAAGGTACATACAAACATGCACACTTACAATGGATAATAAAAAACAATGAAAATAAATGCATTATAATAAAATTATAAACCTCAAAAATAACTGAAAAATTTTTGAAAATGAAATAAATGTTCCAGAAAAATTATAAGTTAATATACATGGTGAGTAGAAAGTCCTTGCCCACATTCTTTTTGGCATAAAAATTTATTCATAAATTTATATTATATTTAGAAAAAATGAAGATAAATAATAGGGTTGGACAAAGCCGTTTAATTTTGAAAAAACCGTATACCGTTTATGCCGTTTATCTGAGACACGTATACCGTTTCGTTTATTTTTGAAGACCCGTTAAAACGTCCGTTTACCGTTTACTTTTGAAATTTTTTAAAATCAATTCACAATTAAAAAAAATCGATGAAAATTCATTAATTTTGCTCATCCCTCTTTATAAAAATTATAATTCAACAATAAATTCATAATAGCGATGGATTTAGAGAGTAAAGGAAGGCTGAAGAGAGAGAGACCCGATATCACTCCTAGTGATTGAGAGTGATATCAGTGGTTTTGAAATTTGGAGGATTTGAATATATATAGGAGGATTGAGTTGGGATATCGGTAGATTAGAAGTTATTAAAGGGGATCAGAGGTTTAAGGGGAAAAGTGGCAAAGTCTACACAATTAGCTAATAATTTAAATTTCTTAGGGTTTGCACACAACCCTATGCGATTCCTGAAAATATCCCAACTTATTTAAATCCTTTAAAATTTAATAATTAAACTGCTCTAGATGATTTGAAATATAAAATTAATCACGTTCGTTATAATTTAAATAATATAATGAAGTTAATATGTATTAACATTATAAATAAAATTAGGCAACAAATAAATTTTGAAAGATCCATTAATTTTGGTTATGAAACAAAAAAGTCAAAAAAAAAATAAATTATAAAAAGTTATTAACAATAAATATTATGTAAATCATTCACTATAAATAAATATATTTAAATATATTTACACGTGAAACTTTTTATATTTTCAGAAAATTGTTCTTTAGTCTCTCATTTTCACTTTCATTTTTTACTATCGGTTCCTACGGATTTTAGGGATTATTTGAAATTTAACCCAGCAAAAATAACCTATAAACACCGAATTATCGAAGTTCATATTTCCCAATCAGCAATCCAAAATCGACGAAAAATAAATGAAAACTTTTGTTAGCAAACAATTCTCGATAAATTTTTAATAAAAGCCCTCGCCTTTTTCGCATCTAATAATAATCTTAAGCAAATAAAAAATAAAAAAGGGTAAAAAGAATAAAATGTTCGCCAACACTAAAATTTTAACATTGATTATTTGAATGAAAATAAATTTTAAATAAAAATTTCTTTCTAAAATTTCCCTTTCTTAAACTTCAATTGAAAAGTTAATTGAGCTAAGTTCATTTCAAGATGCATGGATAAGCTTTAAATTTACAAGATTCTAATGTAGTTACTCATAATTAAACGAGAACATGTAGTTCTTAATTATCCAAGTGTGATTTTAAAATTGTAAATGTACACAAAGATATGAATCCTCCAATTCAAAAACAATCTTCCATTAATTTCTAATAAATTAGTTTAATAAGTTTACTACAAACGAGTTAACAATGTTTATAAAATAAAAATTAAGATAAAATAAGATTTTTACATAAAAAGTTAATAAAATTAAATACTATATCGGCTCTGTCTGGTTATATGAGTTCAATAAACCTTATTATTTAATATAAGTTAGAGTTCAATGACTCATAAACATGCCAAGAGCCAAGTAAACAAAAGCCCCCAGAACAATCACTACATCAGCTTCCAAGTACAACTGGCAGTGTTAACTACGTCATTAAAATTAAAAAAAATGAAAAATCTTGTTAAAAAATTAAAAAAAAATTTTTTAATTCTAAATTTTAAGTTAAAAGTTGAATTACTAAAGATTTAAAATTACTGAGAATTAAAAACAATTCTAAAAATCATTAAAAAAAGGATAAAATAAATTATAAAATTTTAAGAAAATATTATTTATCTATTTATTTAAATACGGATTATTATAAATGATATTTATAAATATTTACTTGGTATATAAATTTATTTATTTATTAACTTCGTAATACATATTAAATCTAAAATTTAATTTAGTTATTTGACAGATTAAGTTATATCATTAGATGCATGGTTTAACTATTTATCCTAAAACGTTATTTTTCAAATAGCCGTAAAATATAAAATTAATGGATTTTTATGATGAAGGAATTACTAAAAGCTTATTGTGGAATACACAAAGAATTTTCATAAAGACTCACAATTTAAAACTTTACTTTTCTAACTCGCTCTCCCAATTTATTTAAAAAATTTTCGTTATTAGGGGAGTAAAAAATTTATGACCACAACTATGTGTTCAGTAAGGAGTTTGTCGTTGTAGCACTATTGGTGTTCGGATCAGTGGTTTCTGCTAGAAAAATCGGGTTTCGGAGGACGAGGTGCTATCTTATTTAAAAGATTTGAAGCTATTATTTTTTAACTATTATCCATATATATTTGTTATGACTATATTTTTTTTTAATTTTATTGTATTTATTATAATTTTTAGTAAAATAATAATTAAATAATTTTAGAAATATATTATTGTTAAAAAATAAATAAGTTTATATTCTGTGTAATAATTATATTTTGATTTTATTGTGTTGTTGTGATTGGTTGCCACGCATTTGTATTGATAGTTGATGTCATTCCCATTCCAAGAAGTAAATTTCGTGAAGTAACATTTAATGTATTGCTTGGAGATACTCCTGTCGATGCAAAACAACTGGCTGCTAATTGCTGTATCTGTTGTTGCATTACTTCATTCATTGAAGGACCTCGAGCAATTAAATGCGAAGTAGAATCTAGTAATGATGATGATGAAGAAGATGGTAATACTCCCATTGATGAAATATTTAAATTGAATGGGGAATTGGAAAAAGTTGATGGCTGAAAATTTTTTAATTTACATATATTTGAAAATTAAAATTAAAGTAAAATTATGTTTCAGGTCCCAAAATCCAATATGGTCAAGCATTATAAAGAAAAGATGAGTCGAATGACGCCAAAATAAGCCTGTGGTCTCTTATGTGGGCTGACTGAGTTATATTCCCTCAAAAATTAAGACCCAGTTGTTTCAAGCAAATTTTACGGTAAATTACCGAATAAGCAAATACTACCTCAACTTATTCCAATATTAAATTTAAGGTTGTTTTAAAAGGGTTGAATTTAGCAACTGATGGATATGTGTTCAATAGATCAATTGTTCAATCAGCTATAGGAGCGGAGCTTCGTTACAAAATTTAAAGGATTTTAAATTCGCAAATTTAAAATTAGAGAATGTGAACAATGTGTTATTATATTTTTTAGATTTTAGGTTTGGCAATAAATAAGTAAATCCCACCCACTGTTACTATCCAAAAATCGTTTACTTTATCTTATAAACTAGGGTCTGACCTTGACTTATGTTTCCGAAACTACAAGGTTGGGTGTGTTGTGCCAAATTGAGAAAATTATAAGGAAATTATTTAAAAAAGATAATTTTTAACTTTTGACGGAAAAACATAGTGAAAGACTACCACTGTAATCCATTATCATTTTTATTAGTTAAAATGACATACTCCAGGTTTTGCCGAATTAACGAAGAGAGATTGTTGTGCAGTTTCTGCTAAAGCATTAGATGATGATGCTTGGGCTAGTTCTGAGTTTGATTGAATAATTTGGCCTGAATTTTGATTTTTATTAATTTGTTGTATTATACTACTTCGTTGAGATGATGTTGAAGACGATTGACCACTTGTGCTTGCTGAAATCTATAATTAATATGTTAATTTGAATACTAGAAAATATCAAATCCTTGACTCAATACACAAATTAAAAATGATAGATAATAGGACAAATATTTTATGAGCAAGGATAAATATTAGGCCAGATCACTTTAAACGATCAAGCACTAAAACATCCATCCTTACTAAACTCGGCTAAATCTTTAATATTTTTCTTAATCAAATAATAACATCAATTTACAACCTCCCTCTCTCGTTGTCTACGGTCAGAAACAGCTGAATCAATTGGTTGACAAAAATGGTGAAAATTTGAAGGTCTATCAGGGTTTGAATTGATTAAACGTCCTTGGCGAACCTTTTGAATCAAAGAAATTCAATTTATAATTTATCTAAAAATAAGGTTACAGCAATTTTTGGAATTCTCCTTCCATCATTATAACGTTTAGCATGCATACAACCAACACATTTGTAATAAGCTGTTTCTATTCCACGTTTATCCTGATAGGAAGAGGAATAGCAAAATTCCTAGAAAATTTTAATACTCAATGAATTTAAAACTACTAACAAATCTCTTTCCTGGCTGTAAAACACT